TGTGTGTGTGTGTGTGTGTGTGTGTGTGTGAGTGTGTGTGTGGTCAGTGTGTGTGTGTGAGTGTGTGGTCAGTGAGGTGATACAGCAGTTGTTGTTCAAGCCTATGAATGCATGAATGTCACCGATGCATCACAGCAGGTGTCATACTGTCATTTACTGTAAACAGACACAATCACACTTTCAGAAAAACATCTGAGAAGAAGTTTGTGTTTGAGCTTCAACAGCAGCTCTAGTGTAGTGAATGAAAACAGTCAGCATTTTGAGTGTGTTTGCAGTTAGTCAAGTCAAATGTATTTGTATATTTTGCAGAAAATCGCGATGTTATTGTTTATTATGTCTTAATATCTTCATGTCTTATCGTCACATTGATCAGATTAGAGCTGGATGATAATATAGTGAGATTTTGCCACGATATAAACAATCAGACGGCTGAGGTTTGCCAGCCACTGAACTTTGTCGAAGGTTCTCTGAAAGTTATGACCAAACGTTGACAGCACACATGTCTGCTCGCCGAGAAGCGCCTGCACACGTGCGCTGTTAGGGTTAGATGCTGGTCTCACCTGCTGCAGGTGTGTCTTGGCCCTCTGGAGCGCGTCCTCGAAGCCCTTCCGCCGCAGCTCGCTCAGGCTCTCGTAGTACTCCTCGCAGTCGTCGCTGTCCGGGAACAGCACCTGAGACAGGATCCTCCAGCCGCAGGTGTCCAGCGCGTGCCCCAGGTACACCTGCAGCTGGAAGCACAGCGCGTCCGTGTCTCGCGCGCTCAGCTCCGGGGCCCCGAACAGCACCGACCACACCGTCTGCTCCTCGGGGAGGGCGGGCAGGCACGGCTCCAGGTCCGAGTTGACGGCGCACAGCTGCAGGTGAACGGCGCGCATGTCCTGGAAGGAGAAGAGCCCGGCCCAGCTGGAGTCCTCCGGGAGCTCCGCCGGCGCGTCATCGGGCTCCGGTGGCTCCAGCTCCGCGCTGCGGGCGGCTCTGCCGGGCTCGGCTCGCTCTGGGCCCGGGCTCTCGTGTCCCTCGAGCAGCGAGTCTCGCGCGGCGCTCCGTTTCTGCACGGTTCGGTCGTGGCACGTGACGGCGAACTTTCCTTCGATCTCGTTCCAGGCGACGATGAAGACGAACTTGTGCTTCTCCTTCTCCTCGAACACATTCGGTCGCACCGACACCCACCCGGACTCCAGCGCGTCCTCCATCGCGAACGACATGATAATGAGAAAGCAAGCGAGCTCAGACGGAATCCGGGCTCCTCGGCAGAAGAAAGGCCAGACTAACGGACGCGGATGAAAACACTCGGTCCGGTAATATCCACGAAGTCCCGTGCGTTCTTGTGTCCCGACTCGTCCGCTGACGCGCGCATCGCTACGCGTTCACACCTGCGCGCGTCGCGTCACCCGCGAGGCCTTTTGTGCGCTAATCCGCATCTTTAACATCGCGACTGTTTCTCATCCGACGACGACGACTGGGCGCTGACGTCACAGAGAGGAGGACGTAAACATCTGCACGTGGGACACGCACTCTGCGTGATGACGCAATCAGAGACGCAGGCGACGCACGGTGGTCTAGACCAGAGAAACACATAGAATAGATTCACAGAAAGAAACTTTCCCCTTGCAGTCTTTTCCCCCTCAGACGTTTTATCATGAAAATGCTTTAATGCTGGTTTCTATGAGAGAGCATCATCGCTCATCTCTCTGATCAATAACTGATGAAGCGCGCGGCTATAAATGTCTGTTCAATAGCTTAACTCTCGGCACGTGACCCGTTACAGTCATGAGACGCCGCTTTGTGTTTATTCAGTGCATGTCGATTCTCGTCCGCTAGGTGGCGCCACTGGCCGACACACGTGCAGCACAACACGTTCACCTCCAGAATAAAACCCTGCTGATCATTTCTGCTCCGTGTCATCCCAGATGTTCATGTCTTTCTGTCTTCAGTCGCAAAGAAATGAAGGTTTTCCACAACGTCGCATTACGTCATGCTTCACGCGAGCGCTGTGGTTAAAAAGTATAGAAATGTGTTGTATTTTTAGTAAATGAGCGATGGTTTGGCTCCATCAGACTCTCATTCCTCGGCTGGGATCCTGTAGAGCTCGGCTCTGAAACTGATTTGTACCTTTAACCCGTTGGTCTCCATTGAACTGCATCATATGGAGAAAGCCCCGGATGCTCTCTCGTTTCTGCAGAGGGTAATCAAACGTGCAGCGCTCTCTGGTCCTGCACTACTGCTCCTCGAGTGAGTGGAATGCTCATCTCACGTTTTTTAAACGTCTCTTCTCGTTTTCAGATTTTTGTTTTATTTCACAGTCTGTGCACTATTGCTGTTTTTGTGCACTTCTGTCCTTGTGTATGTGAACATGCTTATCATTATAAAGCGGAGAGTTCCGGTGCTTGATTCTGATTGGCTGAGCCGCGTTCGAAGCTGTTGTGAATGACGCTACAAAGTAACACACACCTTTGTTTACGTTTGTGTGTTGCTCGGCAACCACTTTGTAGCAACCACAACTGTTTCTGAGGAGCTACATTGTTTGGTGGAAGAATACTGTGTTTATTAATATCATTACACTTTATTTGCTCTGCTTTATTTTGTGTAACCTTACTACGTATATAACCGTTTTATAAAAGCAATAATCCCCGTGAAGCCGTGGTTTACAGTGAATTTATAACAGCTAAGTGGGTTTTATGTTTCGTGTCGTAATAACGCCCCTTAGCCGTTATAAATTCACTGTAAACCACGGCTTCACGGATCTAGGATAATAGATCTCATGATTCTGATTGTGATCACCGTATGTTTAATGATTGAAATCCCATTAATTTATTAAATAACTCCATGACAAAGAGAGTGATTGAGATCATGATGAGTTTTTATTGAGCATCAGGAATCCGACTCTTGAATGGAAGCTCTGGTCGGACTGGAGTGTTCCGAACATCTGGAATGCAGCTCCGCCACATGGGTCATGTGACCGATCCGTGATGTTAGCGTGATGCGCGGCGGCTCAGAAAGCAATCAAATACAGAATAGCCTCTAACGGCACAATTACACTTAATCTGGTTTCTAAAGAGCTTCTGGTCCTGCTGAAGTAGACAATCCTATTCATGAAATCAGCGTTTGTAAACATACAATAAGGAAGGAAAGAGGTAGACAGATTATTTCTCTAAGTGTCTCCTGTAGTACCGCAGGTTTCTAAATGCGGCGCGGCTCGACCTCTGACCCTCAGTGTTTGCCGTCGGCTTTCCGGAAGAGCGGACGCAGCTGCTCCGCGGTCGTGGCCTCCTTCTGCTGCATGAGCTCGGTGTGACCTTTGGTGACCCCCCAGCTGTCAGGAGTGGACATGGAGGGACACAGCGGGCGACCAGACGCCGGCTTCAGCCGCTCCCAGTAATCACGACGCGCCCTGCGGAGCAAACATTCATCAGTGTCAGAGACACATGTTCGTCGCTCTATGTGTGTTTCTCTCTCTCTCTCTCTCTCTCTCTCTCTCTCTCTCTATTATTTCTCTAAGTGTCTCCTGTAGTACCGCAGGTTTCTAAATGCGGCGCGGCTCGACCTCTGACCCTCAGTGTTTGCCGTCGGCTTTCCGGAAGAGCGGACGCAGCTGCTCCGCGGTCGTGGCCTCCTTCTGCTGCATGAGCTCGGTGTGACCTTTGGTGACCCCCCAGCTGTCAGGAGTGGACATGGAGGGACACAGCGGGCGACCAGACGCCGGCTTCAGCCGCTCCCAGTAATCACGACGCGCTCTGCGGAGCAAACATTCATCAGTGTCACAGACACATGTTCGCTCTATGTGTGTTTCTCTCTCTCTCTCTCTCTCTCTCTCACTCTCTCTATGTCTCTCTCTCTCTCGCTCTCTCTCTCACTCTCTCACCTGGCTCGGACCCAGGGTTTGGTGTGCATCTCCAGGCCGCTGCCCCACACTCCATGTTTCTGAGAGGCTTCGGGCAGGATTCCTCTCTCGGTTGCCAGCTCCTCGGCCACGGCACGGATGTGGTACGGCTCGAACCCACAGCAGCCGCCGATGTAACGGATTCCCGCCTTATAGGCCTCTCTGGCGTAATGCTGCATCTCCCAGCGCGTGAGGATCCGCGGCTCCAGAGCTGGAGAACACCACATACATCAGCTTCTCCATCACATATTAAAACAGATATACGGTGATCATGAGACTCACAATTATAACAACTGTGAGTAAGAGTGTGATGATGCGTTTCCACACTTCTTAACAAAAATCTTATATTAAATTAAATAGAATTAAAACAGTTTGACATCTTTCTCTCTTCTGACCAACGGAATCTCTCCATATTCATTTCCTCTTTCGGAAAGTCTTAGAAATGCAATTTTCTCTTTTGTTATTGGAGCAAATGGAAACGCAAAAATTATATTTGTTGTAGTTTCTGTTGAACATTATTGATATTTGATATACATTCTTCTACATTTAATGTTCTCTGAACGTCCTTATGAAGTTATTTGTATGTTCACAGAACTACGTTCAGTAATAACAACAGAACGTTCTCATTTTCAGAATGATTGAATGGAACGTTCCTCTAACGTTTGCATAACCAAAAAGAAACATTCTTAATGCATTAAAAAACTGGACATTTTGAATGTTTAAAAAGACATTCAGAAATAATACTTTCGTAACTTAATGTTAGTGAAATTTTCTTATATATATTTGTTAGCTGCAGATTATTGTTGTCTGTCTGTGTGTGTTAGTGTGTGTGTGTCTGTGTGTGTGTTAGTGTGTGTGAAAGAGTGAGTGTGTGTGTGTACCGAAGGGGAACTCTGGCAGGTCGATGAATCCCTGGCAGCAGCAGTCTGGTGTGTGATACGCCAGCGGCTGCGTCATATAATGTGCTTTCAGACCAGCTTTCTCCACACCGGCCTTCATCATGGCCACGGTCTTCACACAGGTCATGGGGTCAAAGTGACAGTTCACACCCACAATATCAGCGCCTGGAGCACAAACACAGAACATCAGAGCATCAGGATCCATCCACGCTGAAGAAGTGCACTTCAAACACCTGGATGATGCATTTAATTAACCAAAAAAATGAAAGGTGAATCCTACTTTGCATAATTATGCACTATTCTATGTCATTTAATAGTGTTAACTGTGTGAGTGCTGTGTTCGCACCAAAATAAGTGCACTGTGTGTGTGTGTGTG